AAAAGTTAAAGAATAAGTGTATGTTGACATACTGCCACTGAATGTCATTAGATCCATATATGGAACTGGAGATAATGTGAGATGCTATAAAGATAATGTGAGATGCCCTCCCTGTGGTGGGCTCTATTATTACAGGTCTGGAATAAGCTGGAAATTTGCAGGTTTCCTGATTCACAGTTCAGCCAGTATAGATCCTTCTGTAAGCAGCACTACTCTGTCAACTATCTCCCCTTCCCTCCCACCCCTATTTTGGTTCTTTTACTTTGAGTGTGGTATTTTTAACTCTTGAACTATATCCTATCTGGGCAAGGAAACACTGACCCTGAGGAACAGGTGGTGTGGTAATTGGTGGCTTAATTTATAGCACTGTTTCTATTTCATTTCCCTTCCTGATCTCACCTGGCTCTTCAGTGTCAACCTCATTCTCTGTCATTGTCCACTTCCTTCAAAGTCATAGGTTTTTACTTAAGAAATTTTTTATTTTATTCATTTTTTAACAGGAGGAAATCTAATTTAATTACATATGTACAGGGAATCCACATAAACATGAAAGATGACCCATAGATTTTAATTTAATTTTTAAAATTCCATGACTTAAAAAATTAATGTTTGGTAAAAATGTATGTATGAATAAAATATGACTTTTAATTCCACCACCCATGGTTAAAATTTGATGTGTATCCTTCTGCTTATATAACTAATTTTTAAAAATTGGAATTATATTAGAAAGGTGATGTTTTTTGTCGGGAGCCATTTCTGAACTCACTAGTTGAGAAAAGTCCTTGTGAGGTTAAGGCAAGTTTGCGAGGCTCTTGCTGTCAGATGAGGACTGATATCCACCCCCACTCAATTGTCTCTGCTTGAGCACCGACCTCCAAGGCACCTTGTTGACTTATTGGGAATGACTTATTCTGGCCCTGGTATGATGATTGCACCTTGTGAAGGAAATTGTTTTAGCTTGGAAAAATGCTGATACTTAGTAATCTGGAAATAATGATCAGGACTGAGTAATCGATGACACAGAAAGGTCAGCTACCACTTTCGGGTTTACATTAATAAAATAATAACTTTGGTACAGACTGACGTACTATTCCTGGGCATGGATGATGTTATAGGAACTATAAGCCCTGTGGCCAATGTTTAGATGTTTTCTTTTGTGGCTATAGGAGCAACATTGCGTTTCCTGAAAAACTTGTTTTCCTAATACTTCCCATAAAGTGATAAACAGGCTATTGACCCCTGCTCACAAAGAAGTAATTTTTGCCTTTACTATGCTAAAACCATCCTGTTTATATTTGAATGCCACTTCTGGGCTGTTCCCCATACACCTATGCATATCAATATTCTGGAAAGTTTTTACTGATCAAATAATTTATCATCAGAATGCCACTTCTGTGCTATCCCCCAAACACTTAATCATAAAATAAAGCTAAGTCTCAGACAGTGCAGAGATGCCTGTCTGGTGACCAGAAGGATTCTCGGGGCTCTCTCATCCCTCTCTCGCTGACACCATCCCTCCCTCAGGGACCCCTGGACCTGCTGGAGCAGGACTCCGACAGTTTTCTATATTGCTAGTCTCGAATTCTGGTATAATTATCTATATGGCTGTATAATCTCAAGTGAATGACTCAAACTCTCTGTGCTCTAATTTCCTCACCTCTAAGATGGGATAATAAAGTACCTACCCTCAGGACTGATAGGAAGCATGCATGAGTTATATACAAAAAGTACTTAATGCAGTGGCAGGAACATAGTAAATACTCAAAAAATGTTAATGAACTTTGGTATTTTTGTTACATGAATATTACTTTATAACCTGACTTAAAAATATTCTGTGGATATTTTCTCATGTTATTCATGGCTAATATATGACTTTATTGCCCAACCCCAAATCCATTATGTGACTGTGCCATAATTTATTTAATCAATGTTTCATTGTTGGATATTTATTATTTTCAATGCTTTGTCTAGTAACAAATAACCTGTAGTATACATTTCTGTGCATAAATCTTTGGGCACAACTCTAATTATTTCCTAAGGCAAATTCCTAAAAGTAGAATGCTGAATCAGAGTATTACATAGGCTTTTGCCAAAATGCCCTTCAGAAAAGTCATGTGAATGTGTGCTCCTAATATATGAGATGGTTCATTTCCCCAGAGCCTTTCCAGCACAGGATATTATGATTTTAAAAGCTTCTTGCCAGTCTGTAGTTTTCATAATCAGATAGTGGTCTGCAGTTCACAAAGCTCTCCTCTTCCAAGCTGTTCATTTTCTTCAAACCCAAATCCCTTCAAGTTCCTCCTCCTATTTCAACTTATGGCATCCTTTAATCTTACATTTCTACCCTGTAACTAGTTCTTTTCTTTCTAGTTTCTTTACACCATTTCTCTTCTACCCATCTGGAGATAGACTACAGTATTACTGTTTTGTTACAGGTGTGTGTTATATACCTGGTTAAGTGGGTACCACAGGAAGACAAGAACTTCCCTTTTTCCTGAGCCCAAGTCTAACCCAAAATGAAGCCATCCCCAAATAGACTCTTCTACTTTACAAAATAAAAATATCCCTGCTGCCTGAAATATTTAAGCCATATAGACAAGTGTCTGAAAGCTGTGGAAGGTATTCTTACTCTTGACAATAAGTTAGCCTACATAGCAGGGTCCATCCAGGAAAACAGAAACTGCTCTAAGTATTTAAACTCAGCAAAAATTTATTGTACAGTTGATTAGAGAGCTCAGAAGCCAGAAAGATGGTGAAGCAACATTGAGATTAGTAACATTGGGAAGCCAGCACCATCCCTGGGCTCAAGGACAGAGGAAGGAGTAGGTGGGGTCAGCTGGAGGAACCTGGCAAGGAGCCACACTAGGCCTATCTGTAAGGAGCAGGACCACAGAGGTGATGCAGGTGTTTCTCACCACCTACAGATAGAATGGAAGGGGAGACATACCTTGGCTTTTCTCTTCTCTCTCTCCAATCTCCTTCCAATGTCTTTCACTGGCAAATTCAATTAGAAGCCAGTTGACACAGATGTTTGTGGAAGTATATATAGTCTGTGGTGAACCCTACTTTTGTGTAGAGCAAAGTAAGGTAAAGGAGAGGAATGAATGTGAAGGCAAACAGACCAAGTCCTGGCACAGCAACATCTGGAGGCTCTTCCAAGCCCACGGACAATACAGCACAAGTGCAAAGCATGCCTGCCCTGGAGAGGTTGGCAATCCCAGGTTTGAATTCTAGCTCTGTCATTTACTAGCTCTGAGACCTTGGCCAGATCACTTAACTCCTCTAAGCCTCAGTTTCCTCATTTATGAAAGGGGGCAAGAAAAACCATATGTCACAGGGTCACTGTGAAGATTAAATAAAATAATAGCTATAAAATAATAGTAAACATTCCACAATAATTGGTTTCCTTTCACCCAAGAATTGATGATTTTAAGAGAAAGGACAATTGGGTATTTGGCCAAGTCATTAAGCTTCTCTCTATTTCTTTATAATAGCATATTTCTTTATTTAAATTTTAGTTAACATGCTTCTCTGTATTTTGAAAGAAGGAAAAAGGGCAGAGGAATCTTTCATTTTGGAAGCTCTGCATAGGGTGGGGTAGGTGATACGCTACCCAATAATGATATTGGAAGACGATGTAAGAAACACTGAAAGTATCCTACGTGATCGATTTACTCATTCCACAAATATTTATGGATACTCACTATTTTCTGGAAATGACTTATACATGGTCCCTGCCCTCAAGGAGATGGTGACAGATAGACAAAGTGATAAATGGTAATATATAATTGTGTGGGAATGTTCACGGAGGAGGGAGCAATGGGATATCTCTGCCTAGAGAAGTGGAGAACACTTGACTGGGGAAATGACATCTGAGTCATATTTTGAAGGGTAAGCAGGAGAAGGAGAAGCAGATACAAAAGCATAGAGTCAGGAAAGGGCACAAAGTGTTTGAGGAATGGTAAGCTATTCGTATGGGTAGGGCCTTGGGTTCATAGTTCAGATGGTCGTAAGAACAAGAGGTAGATGTGGCTGGATATGGAAGAGAAAGTCAGCGTGAAGGGCCTGGTATAGGTAGCTAATGACTTTATCCCATGGGGAATGAGAAGCCAACAGACTTTTAAGCTAGGAAGTGGGGGCACCTTGGTGGTGCAGTTAAGCAACTGGGGCTTCATTTCAACTCAGGTTAGGATCTTGAGTTTTGTGAGTTCAAGCCACATGTCTGGTTCTGTGCTAACAGCACAGAGCCTGCTTGGGATTCTCTCTCTCTCTGCCTCTCCCCCACTCTCATTCTCTCACTCTCTTTCTCTCTCAAAAAATACATAAACTTAAAAAAAATAACTAGGGAGTGACCCAGCATCTATAACTTAGAATTGAGTAAAATGACACATCTTCCAAGACTCTCACATGGCCTTGCCAAAGGGCTGATGCATGCAGTTATGTAAAGCAGGGGCCATGTGGACATCTCATAAGACATTAGAAGGTATGAATCAGAAAAATGAGCACAGGGATTTTCCCTTAATATTAAATTCAGAATGGAAAAATTCATTAACTTCTGCAGATGCTGAAGGGCTCAAGGTAAATATTTAAAATGTTCTCCCTCTCATTTCCACAAAGCCAAAAACATCAGAGGTGTGATGATGATGCTTGTGGCTATGAAACAGGATTTCAAGGATTCTGATGAAATGTCTGCTGGCCTGGATCTGTCTGAGGCTGAAAAGGGGTTTGTGTTACTCTAACAGAAAGGAAAATACAAAATGATGGTCATAGAGCCCTTTATGCTTTCAGAGCCTTTTCACATACATTATCTCATTTAAGCCTCTTGACAACTGAGTGAGGCAGATAAGGCCAAGAGTACAATCCCATTTTAGAGATGAAGAAATGGAGGTCTGAGGGTTTCATACTTTCTCTAGGGTCTGAGAAATTACAGACAAAGCTACTACTGGATTTCTAGACACATAGGCCAGCGCCTTCCCCAAACCCAGGACTGTTCTGCCTACCTGTCCCCTTCCATATGCCAGGATGGCTTCTTTGAGGTCCTGAAGTGTGTGCAGTTCAAAACCCAGCCTCTTCCTGTGGCCTTTGGGGTGGTAGGGGCCTTTTCTTGTCCCTTCAGGTGTCCATGCTGATAAGGCTAAACCCTCTGAGTAGAGGATCAGGGCTCCTTTTCTAGTACTGAATGTTTTAGGAAGAAAGAGGCTCCAGGTGTGCTGATTGGCAATGCCATCATCCTGCGGTTTGCTGACCAGGACATAATCTTCTGGGGACTTCCAGTTCAAGTAATCCTGCAATGGAAAGAAACCACTTTGATCCAAGGCCCCTTTATAGCAATAATACTTGTGCAAGCTGTTTGACATTTTTAAATTAAAAAAATGTTTGTTTTTGAGAGAGTGCAGGCGGGAGAAAGGCAGAGAGAGGGGGCACAGCGGATCCGAGTGGGCTCTGTGCTGACAGCAGTGAACCAGATGTGGGGCTTGAACTCACAAACCATGAAATCATGATCTGAGCTGAAGTCAGACGCTCAACCGACTGAGCCACCCAGGTGCCCTGACATTTTTTTAGTGATTGAGTTTCTCTGGATGCTCCCTTGGTATCACAGAACAACCATTCTTCTTAGCAACTGGTTTTATTCACCAGACCTCAGAATCAGTAGAAACTAGAGCAGGGTTCTGTTTTATCCCCTACAACTTTCAGGAGAGCCATTCATGCCCAGAGTCTTAAATAGGGTATAGAGTGTAGGTTACAGACCAGTCAAAATTTCCTGGTATGCAAGTAGGTAGTCAAAATCATCAAGAGCAGAAGATAACTTTGAAATTAGAACTGGATTAGCTGGCAGTTTAGATAGGGGAAAACCATTCCAACCATCACTTCAACTGTACACAGGGAGAATTTCTATATATTCCAGATGCTATGTAACATTACCTAATTTGGCTATTTAGGACCCTATAAAGTAGTTGCATATCTTGTAAGTAAGTAAATGCCATTGGCCACAGAGGTCCTTTGAAACTTCATATATCTTTTAACACAGCAAAGGTCAAATATCAACGACAAACTACCAAGACAATGGAAATCTCTGTTGATCCAAAAATTTTCAAAGAATCCCACTGGATTTCTTATTCCTGGCAAGATTCAATGGAATAAAATTCCAGTACAAGGGAATTTTGCCACCTCTTTAAGATCTTCTAAAATGAGATCTATTTTTATTGTTTATTAAATTTTTTTTGGCCTATGTTAAGTATGCACCCTCTGGGTTGAATTTCAGAAAGTTCAAGGAAGCTATTGAAATGGCACAAACATATACAACATTACAACCACAGAGCACAACTTCTCAAAACCAAACAGCCATCAACTTGCCTAGAACCCACATGGAAATTCTAGTCTTGAACCAAACCATCTGAATTCTAGACAATCTGGAATCTCCTTCAGTCTAAAGCAAATGAAGCTGTAAGTTAGTGTCCAAGGAGAAGGAAGAGGGTCCCAATGGCAATATCAATGTACAAGCAAACTTCCTTATTTTCTTGAGTTTCACCAAGGAGGGAAGGTCTACCAGCGACCCCCACCGCCTCACTAACAAACAGAACCAAAACACACATGGCTCAGCCCCAAATGGAAAAATAGAGCATTCCTTTCCCACCCCCAAAATATGCCTTTATTCAGATGTAAGACTCACCTCTGGTTCAAAATAGACTTCTAGCTTCTGTTTGTTCTGGACCAACTTCCCATGTCCCCGGCTCAGGAGAGAGAGCGTGAACATGTTTCCCTTCTGACCACCCTTCTCAAGGGCAGTTCATCTTGGTTTTGAAGGCTGAAAACTGGTCACACCTCAAGATTTCCTGAGCTCAGCAGTGAGCCCTAGAAGACCACAAACACTGGGCCTTTTATTAAATACATTTTTCCTTCGTACAGAAGCTTCTTAATAACAACCAGCCACACAGTTTAGACAGTGTGTGTCTTTGTCAGGAGAAAAAAATAAACTGCAAACCCAGACTCCTCTAGCTCTGGATTGTCTACTCTCTGGGCAACCTCTCTCTCCTCTTCGCCTGTGGTCTTGTTGTCTCTTGGTCCTGTTGCTCTGTTACCGGCCTTGTGCATCCACAGATCTGGGCCACGGCACCATCCTTCCCATTGTGAGCAGAGGTTGTTTCCTGGTTGCTATGGCAGCACAGGGAAGTGAAGTCTCTTAAATCAGCCTAGACAAGGGAGAGACTGCTGAGGGCAGTGCTCACACACTGGGGGGAGGGAAGGTCTAGGCTCAGATTTCAAGTCCTGATTGCAGGAGCAGGGGCGATGTTGGGATATTTTTTTTTTTTTTTTTTGGTTATAGTACTCATCTTGCTTTTAGAAAGTGTCTCTCCCTTTCTCCCAATATGCAAGCTTTTCACTGTCAACTAACCATTAACGGACTCAGAGGAGTCGCCTAGGTCACCTAAAGCAACCTGTGACGTTTTCCTTGGCTAAGCTCCAGCATCTCCTCAACTGGACATGAGGTCTTTTTATGGTAGTTGCTGCTTTGAGTGCAGATACCAGGAATCTCCAGATTCCTTTGCATATCTCACTTGGACAACTTGCAATCTCCAGAGGGGGTTACTTTAGGAGACAAAGGTGGGGGAGGGGCATTTGGTTATCACAATGACTGGAGACCACTGCTGGCATTTAGCAAGTAGAGGTCTGAGTTGCTAAATGTTCTGCAGTGTGTAGGACTGTCCTACATGATGCAGAATTTTCCCAGTCTGTATACCAGAGGCACTTCCTTTGAGAAAAATGGCTGTAGTCTGGGCTGCTTGGTTCTCCTTGATGCTGACACTATGAGGACAGAACACTATGAGGACAGAACACTATGAGGAAAGAGTGTCAAGAAACCAAAGGATCTTTTTGCTGGTGATCTAGGGCCTTGCTTTGGCGTGGAAAACCAACCTGCCCTGTCTTCTGTCAGCTGAACCTCCAGGGCAACCTGTGAGAGTCCCCCCCTGCTGATCTGTGTGAAGAAGTACAACAAGCTATAGGACCCGTTACCTTTAAAAAAACAAAGAACCTTTTTAAAAATGTTTTATTTATTTTTCAGAGAGAGAGAAAACAGGTAATGGGCAGAGAGAGGGGGAGACACAGAATCTGAAACAGGCTTCAGGCTCTGAGCTGTCAGCACAGAGCCTGATATAGGGCTCACATTTGTGAGCCGTGAGATCATGACCTGAGCCCGAGTCAGCCACTTAACCAATTGAGCCACCCAGGTGCCCCTACAGGTCCTGTTGCCTTTTAGATCTCCCTCTGCGATGGCAACTTTCCCAAGAGGCAGTCTCAAGTCTATGAGGAAGAAATGCAGGTCATGCTATATAGTTAGATTGGGTTTATCATGGAAAATTAGGATATTAAATGCAGAGGCCCAAAACTGAATTTAGTCAAAACCACAGTGGATGCCACTTTAATACTCATTAGAATGGCTATTACTAAAAACAAAACAAAATGAAACAGAAAATAAAAATGTTAGTGAGGATACAAAGAAATTAGGACCCCTGTGCACTATTGGTGGGAATGTGAAATGGTGCAGCCACTATAGAAAACAGTATGTCAATTCCTCAAAAATTAAACACAGAATTACCATATGATCTAGCAATTTTACTTCTGGCTATATAATCCAAAAGAAATGAAAGCAGAGATTCAAATAGATATTTAAATACCCATGTTTATAGCAGGATTACTCACAATAGCCAAAACATGGAAACAATTCAAGTATTCACTGACAGATGCATGAACAAAACATGACATATATGATGGAATATTATTCAGCCTTGAAAAGAAAAGAAATTTGGACATATGCTACAGTATGGAAGGAACTTGAAGATATTATGCTAAGTGAAATAAGCTAGTCATAAAGGGACAAATATTACATGATTCCAATTATATGAGATATTTAGAGTTGTCAAATTCATAGAGACAAAATGTGGAATGGTGTTTTCCAGGGAAAGCAGGAGGAAGGAATGGAAAGTTAGTGTTTAATGAGTACAGAATTTCAGTTTGGGAAGATAAAAAAGGGTCTGGAGATGGGCAGCAGTGATAATTGTAAAACATGGATGTAGTTAATGTCACTAAATGGTACACTTAAAATGATAAAAATTATAAATTTCATGTTATGTTTATTTTACCACGATTAAAATTAAAAAAAGAAAAGAAAACAAAAAACAGGATCTATCACTTTATAATCTGAAGGCCAATTGGTTGTAATTACTTTGGAGTAAATTCCTTACAGCAGGTAAGACAAATTCTACAAAATGAGGCTTCCAAATAGTTTACAAGGTTTTTTTTTTTTTTAAGTTTATTTATTTATTTTGAGAGAGAGAGAGTCCAAATGGGGAAAGGGGCAGAGAGAGAGAGAGAATTCCGAGCCTCATGCGGGGCTTGAACTCACAAACTGTGAGATCATGACCTGAGCTGAAGGTAGATGCTCAGCCACCCAAACGCCCCAGTTTACAGGGATCTTAAGCTACAGTTACTCCCTCTCTTCCCCTTTCTGTGCCTTTGAAGTGCAGAAAGGACCCTCAACAAAATTTACTGTAATTATATTTATAATTGATATATATTACTGTACATAGTCCCTACCCTCAAGAAGCTCCCAGCAGGGAGAAAGGTTAGGCATTTATGAACTAGCACCTGAAAGGCGATGTGACAGATATGATCATGGAGATGGAGATAAGTAGGCGCTCCAGGAAAAGAGGTGAGGAGGTGATGTGTGATGGGCCTTCATAGAAGGCTACTAAGGGAAGGGATATTAAAGGTGAGCTTTAATGGACAGCAGTGTATGGCAGGGAGAGAAGATGAAAGAGGACCCTGCAGGAGACATGGCAGGAAAGTCTGAGATCTTTGGAGAAGGGGCAACTGCTTTGGTGTAGCCAAAGCCATGGGTTATGTGGACAGAGATGAAGCTGGAAAATCAGGCCAGCTGGCCAAGGTCATGAAGGCCACATGTGCCTTGTTAGGGCACTTTGGACTTTGTTCTTCAGGTTTGTTTGTTTGTTTATTATTTTATGAGATGTAAGAGTGGGAGAAGGACAAAAAGAATTGATGTGAAGGATTTTGAGGTAAAATCAGCAAAACATGGAAAGTTACAGGATTCAGAATTAGATTGCTTAGGTATTTTTAGTAGAATCATTTCAAACATTTGGGTCATTAAAACACATGTCATTTTCTAACCTTCATGTTTTCATAGAACTTCAGACTTGAAGTTTGTTTTCCTCACAGGTTCATAATGAGATTTATTTTGAATTTCAAAGGAAGAAACAGCCCCAATCCATTACCGAAAATTAAATTACATGGAACATATCATAAAACATAGTAGTTCAGAGTAATCTGTATGACATTAGTTCTACTTGTTCTTTAATAAGACTGTGTAAAATACTATAGTGTTTGTTGTCTCAAACATTTCTATGCTGTGTTGTTTGTAGTAGGGCATAAAACTTGGTTCTTTTTACCGTAGGCTTAAGTGGGTGAATTCCAATAGAACTGATTTCTTTTTTTTCTTTTAATTTATTTATTTTTCCATTTTCACTGACAAATAATTGACATACTTTATTCAAGTAGGTTTTTTACAGCAAGGGGTAATGGGATTCCACCAGGTTTTAGAAAGATAACTCTGAGAACAATATAACAATGGATAGGATGAGGAATGCCTATCTCATAAACTTCCAGGTGAACTTGTAGAACCTTGTAGCCCAGGCCAACCTTCTCTTGGATTTGAATGAATTAGTCAACTTTGTCAGGAATAATCACTTGCTAAATGATTTTGAGTGAGACATAGAAGGGGAAACTCTATACCAACTGCAATGAAATACAAATATTGCTGTTTTGAGAATGCTGTTGCTCAGGGAAGAGAGTAAAGAGCACAAGAAGGAAGTGACAGAGTGACTGGGACCCAAATAAGAACCACTACTGTCAGCCAAAGAATGACTCCAAGTTTCTCCGGTGGAAATTCATCCTCTGAGCTCACTTGACTGAATTGTTAATTCACCCATACATGGCAAACTCCAGGAAGTGACCTTGCTGAGTCTAGGATGAGTGAGCAAAATACCCAGGTGCCCATCTGGCTCTCCCAACACTGTGACAAGGCTCCCAGGTCTCTTTGGGGTTGTAATCTATGAGCAGTCAGACCACAACCCAAAGCAGGTTTCTCCTAAACTGTCATGTTTACATCCTTGCTGTTTAATATGGACAATGAACAGATATACAGATCAATTAATAGACATTTAAAAGCATTTACTCAGTCCCCAAAGCAGTTTATGGAAAGTCCATTTAGAAAGCGATCAAGGTTACTGCAATTCTAAAGTGCTTGGGGAATCTCAGATGAAAGGCCCTTGTAACTGGAAAGTATTTATAACTCAAGAAGAAACCCTCCACACCCATGTTATATAACACCAACACCATCTCCTGGCATGCCTGACCTGTCAGCCCATGCAGCATGTCTGTTTAAATTACACTGTAAATTCTATAGGGTGGAGACCTTGTTTTTATGGTTTGTAAAGCATCATGAATAACCATGGCACTCTGTAAATAAATAGAAACCACATGAAACAAAGAAAAGAGATGTTATTCAATGGCCATGTTCCTACTGCATCCAGGAATTTGTCCCTTGCTCCAAAGTACTCAGGGTAAGTGGATGCCATTCTAGGAAAGTGGCCTGTGGGATAGTGTCAGGATCCTCATTTCACTTTAAAGGGCAGTATGATAGTGTTTTCCAGGAATTGTAATCATCTGGAGGGGTAGCCTACAAGAAGAGTTATTGATGTTGCCCTTGTTACCCAAAGAGGAAAGACCAGTGCACAGAGAGATTAAATGATTTGCACAA